TAACACCCGGTATATTGAAGAATTTTGCAAACCAAAAATAATATTCTCAGAATGCAAAGAAAAATAGCTGAAAGTAAAAGAAATCAATATAAACAATATTTTATTCGCTTTGTGTCCAAAATGGACAAAATTAATACTCCAAATGTATGCCAAGGCTTAAAGTAGCAACAACGCTACACGTGTAAGTAAAAATATTTAAGTATCTGAACAAAGAATTCTAGTCTCTTCCCAAATTTGATTGTCCTGACTAATCACCTGCTAGGCCTAATTAATTTTAGAATGTTTTAAAGTGTTGCAATGTGATTTTAATGTGTGATATGATGAGGCTGTTGACGAACTGTGATTGTTTTTTAAATTAATGAAATTTTTTTTTTAACTATGTTATTTTAGAAAAACTGATGATGGTGGAAAAATACACCGAAACGTATTTTAATTAATAAATAAAGACAATAAATGACTGAAACCCAGGAATTAATTTTGATTTGGAACTATAACCATCCTCATTCGAACGTAGTCAGCGATCAATCAGAAAAGAAAATAAAAATCGGTAAATGTTGAGCCTCAAGTGTTTTTTTACATTATTATACATACTCATTACAATAATGCGAAGCGCAGATCCAAATTTCTATGACCAATTATCTGAGGGATTATTAGGAACATTTAAAATGCAATCCCTAGTTCTGGCAGATTTATATGAAATTTACAGTGAGGGCTTAAAGGTGTATCGGATTACATATATCGATATTTTTATGTCTGAACTTGCCAGCCCCATGTAGGTTTTGACCATAAAATATTTATGCGACATTTCGTGCTTGCAAATCTGGATCAACTGCAATTTTTCTTCACAATTTTGCCCCGGTGCAAGCGGCTGAATTATTCGGAAATGTCAAAATGCGGATTAACTCCTTAATATATCTTGGGCGTTATTCATTCAATTTTTAAAGCAGCATCTGTAAAAGAACACCAGGAAATTAAATGTATAAAAATATTACTGGAATGTTCAAAGAAACTGTCGCAGGAAAATTTTACAGGCTTTTTATATAGTAAATGTTCTGACTAGTTTCTCAATATACAAAAAAGATTACATTTCAAAGTCTTGTTTTTGAAATTGATTCAACATTTCTATTAATTGATTAATTCATGTGCAAAATATGGCTCTCCCAAAAAAACTTTGAACATTTTCATTCGCTGGATTAGTTCCATTGTTCCTATTAACACACTCTCCACGCCTGGATAATTTGCATTCACAATTACCACTGGCAAGCACAATATCCAATTTGATTACTAGACGGAAAGTGTACAAGGTTAATAACTAAACACATCAATAAATAAACAGCTGAAATTAGACAAATTATTGTGTTCGGGACGCTAATTTCATGTGCATTGCGATTATTGCTTACCAGCTCAATCTGATTTGGAGCGAAATTGCAAAACTGTGCAGGTATTTGAGAGTAAATTTTATAGTTGCCTAACACACTTTGCTATAGACCGAAACCTTCATTCAATTTTAATTTAATTTCCGTATATGAAATTCAAGTTTGTATTGTAGTAGTAAATTTTTGTGCGAAATTGAATTCAATTTATAGAGCGCGACTGCAGTTTTCCGAGCCTTCTTACATGAATAGGGTGCAAGTGAATAATGGAAGAGTGTTTCGGTTCTCAATTGATTTATGACGCTATGGAATTTGCGGGATGTGCCTCATTTAGCTTTATATTTATAGATCTCAATATCTTTGTGAACGTTAAAAATTTGTTCAATGGACAAGCCATCGCTTCCATTGAATTTCCAATTTAATAAAGCCGAATGTTTGCGATAATTCGCAAATTAGATTTACATAGGTGATCGATTTGGTTTCTTTTTGGACTAGATCATGGAATTTTCCTCTTTTGAATATATCCAGAATTGTATATACTTTCCTGACAGTGTTTCAATTCCAAATCAAAATTAATTCCTGGGTTTCAGTCATTTATTGTCTCTATTTATCAATTAAAATACGTTTCGGTGTATTTTTCCACCATCATCAGTTTTTATGTGAAGCGTTGTTGCTGCTTTAAGCCTTGGCATACATTTAGAGTATTAATTTTCTATATCCAGAATATATATATCCAGAATATCAGGCAGCTGAACTGTGCCAAACGTCTTTACCGGGTGAATAAAACACGTATATGCCAGGTAGCTGAATTCAATAAATTCCACAATAAACCGAGCCCCAGTTGTCGATCTGTTCTATTATACTTCCTTTGTTCTTTACTTTCCGAGGATTTGCAGTTTTTCCAACTGGACATTCTACACTCAAAATCTTTGGGAGAATGTTATTTTATTACTTCCTAATTCTTATTATTCTAACTTCCCCAGAGTTTTCTCCTATCTCTGAGCACCTGCATAGTTTCCTCAGAGCATCACAAAGATTGCGCCTCATGTCTATGATAAGTTTCTCCAAGTACTCTCGTTTTATTCCTTTTATTCGCCTGAATAGAAATTTGTAATTTTTTGGGTTTTTGTAGTTTATCAATTTGCCTCTGTTTGTATGCTTTTTGACTTAAGTTTTCTTTTCTTAGTGCCCTATAACTTTTAGCAACTTCTTTTACTTCCCGCTGCAATCAATGGAAATAGCTGATGGATCCAAAAAATTGAGTCGAGGCCTATAGAGCCGTTTTTTTTATTTATTTTAAAGGTGCTTTAAAAGTGAATCTGCCTCAGGAATGGCTCATTTTCAAATTCAGCAAATTTCGACTCTTATACAAAATTACATGCCGCAAAATTTGCGATGTTCGCCTTTCCCCACGGTATGAGATTGTGCTAAACAGTTAAACCATCAAAAATTCGGTGAAGATTGAAATCAATTGCTAGTTGTAATCAAGCTCCGCCAGCGCCTTCCCAGTATTGATTTGTAGCCTCACAATGTGAGGATCCCGGAAAAACTGTAACTTTGTTTTAGAAATTTTGAGCTTGAAAGGCAAATTAAATTGCCTTTAAACTAAACTGCTGGGAAAGTTCAAGCCGGAACAAGCGATTTTCCGGGTCGTGTATAAGGTATTTTTTAAGATCTGGTTACCGTGTGTAAGATGTAAAAAGAAACCGGGTTTTTAAATTCAAACTTTGCATATTACCAGTTTGAACCCATGGAAACTTTCAATGTGAACCTGCTTGTACATGGCTGGTTTTTTATTAGATGTGGACGAATGTGCAAAGGGCACGCACAATTGCAGCAAAACGCAAATATGCAAAAATGGACATGGATATTACACATGCGAGTGTCCACCTGGACACCATTTGAACCGATTGACTCAGGTTTGCGAGGATTTGGATGAATGCAAATTTTACAGGGTAAGTCAATATGCAGAGTGTAAAATGTCGGTAAAAAATCCTACCACAGATTCTTGGGATGATTGGACCTAATTTGTCCAAAACCAAAGTGGACGATTTTCGAGAATAGGGCGTCAAAGTAAAGATTAAAAAACGAAAAGAATTGTTTTGTTGGTGATGCTACTATCTATGAACTTTGAATCATCGCGTTTTCACCCCAGGAATCTGAAGTAGGATTTTGTACAGACACCCTGTATAATCGAACAGAACTACTGTGCAGATATTTTTAAAGTTCATGTGGCTTCGTTGAAATTATTACTGCCGTTGTGATATTAAAAATCACGTTTGCAGTAATTTTTAACTCAATCTCTGAAAGAGTGAATTTTCTGTGACTTGAATGTGTGTAATTAATATTTGCAATATACTAAAGCTGTTTGCTGCGAAGTAAAAAGTCGGCTTTTCCGAAGCGAATAGCAATCACATAGACAAATTACTATCCAGCTTTCGCTTTAAATGGACCCAACATTGAAGTGCAAAGCAAATATTCCTGCACAATATTTGCCGGGAAAACGTCGTTAGTTCATTTCAAAGCCTGCATTTAGTAATATTTCAGCCTTGTGGAAATTACGCAGATTGCACAAATACCGTGGGCTCTTACCAATGTTCTTGCAGAACAGGATTTAAAATGAATCAGAATTTCTGCGATGACATAGATGAGTGCCAAGAGACACCAGGGTTATGCCAAGATAGCTGCATCAATATCTGGGGATCTTATAGATGTGGCTGTAAGCCTGGATTTACTCTGAATCAAGATAACAGGTAATTAAGCATCTTCCCTAAGAGCTGGTTGAACGACCCTAGAATAGAATTGAAAACTTTATGTGCATGTTCTTTCAGAACTTGTACCGACATAAACGAATGTGAGAAGTTCAAGGATCGGAAACTTTGCATCGGGACTTGTGTCAATGTGCCTGGAAGTTACACTTGCCAGTGTCCGAACGGGTACAAGTTGGGCACAGATAAACGAGTCTGTATAGATATTGATGAATGTCTTCATGATGTTTGCGGACCGCAGGATGCTTGCGTTAACACCAGGGGAGGCTTCAAATGCTATCCAATTACGTGCTCTCCGAATTACATCAAAGATCCTAATCATAAATCGTAAGTATATTTTACACTTTTTATTAACTTACACAACTAATAGAAGGTTTATGAATATATATGAATAAAACCACCACTGCGGTAAAATATTACAAATATATATGCAATAGTTGCTCAATTTACCTCATGTTCAAAAACAACCTATTTTTTACCGTCTAAAATTCCGTTTTTCCTGTCTTGAATAAGAGCGCAGTTATTGAGTTGAAATGTTAAGCTTCTTACTAGATGGTTTTTTAATTTATTTTCCTCCTCATAATGTATCTGCTTACAACAAAGTCAAGCAGATTGGCGAGAGAGCCATTACCATTCTGCAGAACAGAACCATGCAGGCTCATAAAATTAACTTTGTAATCGCCAATTTTGTCATAAAGCAGCTTTTCTGCAACTTTGATTTGCTTTCTGTAGTTTCTGTTCTATTTAGATTTTAGCAGAACACCGAGCCGCTTAAATTTGCGCTTAGAGGTACTTTTCACTCATTCGTTAAGCGACTTTGCATCGCATTTTCAATTCAACAACTTTTGCATCCCGAGCTCCAATTCTGCGAAAATCTAGCATGCATCGAAAGTTTATTAATAGGTTCGTAATACAGTAACAAATCCATTTGACTGATTTCAAGACCAAACAGAGATGAATAAAAATAATTTAATTCCGCAGTGGGTCAAATTATTTTGTAAATGTCCGTTTTCGAAAGTAATAAAACTAACAGCTGGAAAGCTATAACTTGATAAATTATGGAAAATTATGCGAACAGTCGAAAAGTTGCGGTGATGTATTTTTATTGTTTTGAATTCGAATTAAATTTTATTCATGAGCGTATTAAATCCTGCACATTTATTATGAATGATCTGTGAGGATAATTAGAAAGCAACAATTACATTTAATTTAGTCTATTAAATTCATATATATTTAAAATAAATTCAGAATTTTCAGCACAGGAATATCCACAAGCGGTTTATTAATTCAATCAAACAAGTTTCATATAATGAAGTGTGTATGTAATTAGGTAAATAAAGCCAAGTACCTACTCTCGACAATTAGGTCATCATCAGGGCCGCTAGAAACGTCGTTTTTTACCTAATTACATACACACTTCATTACATAAAACTTGTTTGATTGATTTTCATCCAGTTTGTACACACCAACTTCTTCTTGTCGTTTATTAATTTTCTGTCACTTCTTATATTTCACTTTTAAGAGACGAATCGAGCTCTCTAGGGTGCGTGGATTATTTGTTTTACATTGAAATGCAGGCACGCATATCTTGCGACCTGCCCTGTTGTTCAAACATAATAAAGTACTCAGCTATCTTTATTGAATTGGAAAATTTTATGGAATTTCTTCATGGAGATAATCGAATCGTTCTTTAAGGTAATATTCTGAGAACATATTTAAATCGTTATCACCTCAGGACGGATATTTCCATTTTTCGAACTGAAACTTTTTTATTTGCTTTAAATTAACCCAATACGGAGGTTTAGCATAAGATGAAGAATAAAGTGATTTTTTCTTTCAGAAGCAAACAATCCAAATTGTATTAAAAAGCGATTGTTTGAGGCTGAATACGAAAATAAGCGAATTGAATAAAATATTGCCAAATTCAGTTTTGAACTGCTTAAGACTTTCGAGACCATTGATTGAATGATTGGGGAGTTTCGCGTTATTAAGCCGTTAAGACGTTTCACTAGCACGCATTGCAGGCATCTTCAAATGTATGTTATCTTTGGGTGCGAATATAACGTCTGAACCCAGTTCCTATCGACGACGACCTAATAACTGAAAAATCCCCAATTGTTCAACGGATACTTTATTTGGCTTTGTTAAATTATTATGGAATTATTGTTTAACGGTCGAGAAAGAACTGTCAACGAAAATTTGGAAAAAGTCCTGTTTTTCTGCCGTTTTCAGTGAGCGATCTGGCTCCTAATAAAGAAAAGTTTCCTCACCTAATTTGCCACATTTTCTCCACTAGTGGATGAACTTCAGCAAAAAATCAACAATTTTGAAATTCGTAATCATGAAATTTCGACTTCGACGAAAGCTTCTTTAGAGCACTGAAAACTATTTTGCTAAGGAAATGGGCATCGTCCCTTTTTCTAGGTTTTTTATTCTGTTAGTGGCCGAACGCATTAAATTTGATGAAATAAATCAAGTGTCTATCGAACTGCATATTCAACGACCTAGGGAACAAGTCCTTGTCATATTACGTAGAAATACTTTTATATAAGAAAATAAACGGTTGTTGAGCCTCATACTGGTCACAAACTAATCCCCTTGGAAACTCGTTTTACTTCCTCTAACTTTCACGAGGCAAAAGTTTGCAAATATATCAAAATAACTTATTTATTCCTTACCACCTAACCTCCGGAAAGTTTTCTTAGATACTTAACAAAGTGTTTAGGAACGAAAAAAGCCCGATGTGCTTCGCCGAAAAATTACTCCATATTTCACCCCTGGCGAATAAAAAAGTTGAATTTTAGCACGTAATATTAACGAACAATTATAAACAATTAAATCCCGAGCTTTGTAGGGCTTGGAAACCGTCAAACCGCTAAGGGAAGAGACCGAAAAGTTTTTTTTTTAATTAATCCGGGAAACTGTATTAAAATTATGATCAGTTAATTACAACATGAAGCTGAGAAGATTTCCGAAATTCTATAGCTGCACAAAAGCAAATAGTTTTAATGGTGTTTTTATCCCAAAGATTTGCGCTGTTACTCAAACCGGTTTTGCTGGTATTTAAATTCAAAGACACGTGAGAACGTGATTTTCTCTTTATCCCAGTGGGTTTTGAATATTCGGATATTTGCCCTAGAAAGTGGGGAAAAAACGGATTCGCCTTTTTAGGTTTCTCTTAAAAGCATGTAAATTTGGCTCAGTTTTTTTACTATAAAAGTTGAGATGGATTCGATATGTTAAATTTCATTTAGCTGCTAGTTGTAAACCTGCAGGATATACTTCTCTAATTTTCGCATCACTTTGTATACAAAAGGGTCATGAGTTTGGAGTTTCGCTTCACAACGGGACAATAAATTTCGCTTAGAATTCTCGAGTTACAAGGGTTTGGAAATTGAAGTTGAATCGGTGCGAAAACCGTATCCTAATAAAAGTGTACGGTCTACGTTCGGTTCGAACCTGAGGTTCGAACCAGCTTGAGAATTATGGCGAATCAAAGGAAATTACTTTTCTCTTATTTGAAGAAGTGATGCCCAACGGAATAGGTCGGTGGAGTGTGACAGTCATGGGAACAGGACAAAATAGCTATATTAAAAAATTATAAAGTTAACAAACTTTTCATTGCGCCTGTAGATTTTTTTTTTTTAGTTTAAGTCGCATGCCGATTTTTTATTATTTTTGTTCGTCTCAGTTGTTTTTTATTTCGTCAATTCTATCCTTATTAACTTTGGAAGTTTTTTTCGTGAAAGTTGCTCCCCTTGCAGATTTTATCAGGAAATGTGTTTTTCAAATTACAAACAATTTTTACATAGATCAAGATTGAAGTCCATAAATCGACATATTCCGATCAAACAAAGTGGTTCGAGATTAGGCTGCATCGCATCATTTTAAATTGATATTATACGAGCAAATAAAGACCAAATTCAAATAAACAGGCATCCGTAAAAATCGTTTACGAGCTACAAACAGTTTTAAGTACATATTGATTTGCTTTTTAGCTAGGTTTTAATTTGACTTGCATTTTTTTTATTTTATCTGACACGTGGATTCGAATAATTATTGAATCATCGTTCACTTCATCAAGTAACTCGAAACGATTACAGATGCGGAAAAATTCAAAAAGCAAATTCTTGATTAACATAAGCAATATTGCCTATTAAAAAAATTCAGATAATTTTTCTCCAAAAAAATGTTCAGACAGAGGTGTCGTTGGCTTTTAAGAAACAAAAATTGCATAGATGCAAGATGTTCTAAAATTAAGATACGAACCTCGAGAAAAAATTGTCAAATATAAATTCAAATTTTTTGTTTTATTTGTTTTCATATTGTATTTAATACACAGACGATAAACGGAAAAAGTAAATGCTGATGGTACAGGCCGATTTGTGCCTGACCAGATTCCAAAAAATAAAGCCGATAGATTCATTTATTATTCAATGATTCCTGACTTTTGTTTTAAATATTTTTGAAACTACCAACGTGTGATTAGGAGAAATGTTCAGTATTTTACGGACAGTTCATAAATCCAATAAAATTTGTTTTTCAAAATTTCAACTTAAGAATCGCATTGCGATTTTAAAATAGTCAAATTTCTTCTTAAAAACTGGCTAATTGGGAAATAAAAAGATACAAATTCAAGACTTTTCCTCAAATCGAATTCGGAATGTTTTCCACAGTTTATGAACACCGTATAATTACTAATCGGAGATCAAAGACATCAAACGAATTTATCCAGTTACGGTTGGTGCAGCCTACCTTGCCATTGTTCCAGATAACCGAAAATGTAATTACAATGCAGGCGCATTAAAAGAGAGCTGGAACCAACAGCGTTATAATCACTGCCAGATAATCTAATGCTATTCCTAATTGCAATTAGGCATTTGAAAATTAATTAATTTCATTGTTTTGCACTTAACAGGCGTTGCAAGAGATTAACATGCGATCCAAGAGATAACCGATGCCTGCTCATGCCTGAACAGTATTCCTATCAATACATGGCTCTGGTTTCAAACTTGCCACTCCCTGAGGGTGGCATTCCATTGTTCAAAATTAAAGGCCCCGATTGGTCTGCGGCAAAGGCCACTTTTTCCTTGAAGCTGCAAGAAGTGAACTGTCCATCTCATGTGGAATGCGTTAATGAGAGTTTTATAAGAAAAATCAATCAGGAGAAAAATTTGATGGAACTCAATCTGGTGAGGAGCATACAAGGACCGCAGGAGGTTAAACTGCAAGTGGAGATGAAACTGTTCCAAGGAGAAAACAATCTGATTGGAAGTGTTGTTGTGTACATTATTATTGTTGTATCTGAATATCCGTTTTGAACCACTTAAACCCATAAAAGCAATTTGAATTATTCACATTTTAATGCGCTTATATAGTTACTTTAGTTACATGTAGTTTAGTTTTAAAACATATTTCTTAAGAGCTTTTTAAATGTCTACCCACAGTACTTACTGTAACCACCTAATCTATGCCAACCTTTGTACTATACAACCAAAGCAGTTAAGTTGTGGTCGCTATTTTAATTAAACAAATTATCATATAAAATTGAGTTTTTACTTGTAAAAAGTTGTAGGCAAGGGTAACACTGTGTTGAATTGGGATTTTGAGTTGTTGCCGCTCTATGCGCTAATGAGTTACAACTCATCGCGTCTCACTGCGCCACACTTTGGATTACGCTGACCATTTAACTCAGGGGTGGATTATCTGTTTGAGGCTCCTGGACTTGAAACTTTCACAGTCTATAGAAGACTGATGAGCCTCAAACCAATGAAAATTTCAATCAAATCGGAACAACTGCTGATTTTTACCGACTTGGTAAATTTGTCCGAAAAATTGACGTTTTCACACAATTCCACTCTTAGAAGAAACTTGAAACTTTCACAGTCTATAGAAGATTGATTAGTCTCAAACCCATGAAAATTTCAATCAAATCGGAACAACTGCTGATTTTTACCGACTTGGTAAAGTTGTCCGAAAAATTGCCTTTTTCACACAATTGCACTCTTAGAAGAAACTTGAAACTTTCACAGTCTATAGAAGACTGATGCGTCTCAAACCCATAAAAATTTCAATCAAATCGGAACAACTGCTGATTTTTACCGACTTGGTAAATTTGTCCGAAAAATTGACGTTTTCACACAATTCCACTCTTAGAAGAAACTTGAAACTTTCACAGTCTATAGAAGATTGATTAGTCTCAAACCCATGAAAATTTCAATCAAATCGGAACAACTGCTGATTTTTACCGACTTGGTAAAGTTGTCCGAAAAATTG